CACTTGATAGACAGATACAGAGTAGGACTAGAAAGACTCCATCTCGCGAATCACGAGTCACGTTATACACCAACCACCTTCTCGGTATCTATACTTTCTCCCTCCCTCTCTCTCTCTCTCTCTCACACACACCCGTCTATCCCAACTCTATACCTAACACAACGTCACTGCATCCCCCATCTCGAAATTAATCAACCAAAAACCATCGCAGCCCGAGATCAGCATCGGCTTCGTCACACAACCCATCTCCTCCCTCTCCGCTCTCGCCCGACTACCCGCCTTCCCGCCCGCCCCCAAGAAGACGGCAAGTCGGACATATATGTCGCCGTCGTCGATCTTGCCCTCTCTCAAGCACCCCAAACACGCGTCAAACCGCCATCAGGGGAGAGAGCACGGCACAAGAAGGGAACACCCACAAGCCGATGCGTGAAGGATAAGAAGAAGGGAAAAGCTTCGAACTCCACTAGGCTGACATCGACATCGACGACAGTGTAATTCGGCCAGGGCGCTCACCAGGCCGTGACCCAATCAGCTTCGGGCGATCCAGCCTTACTGTCTGTGCGATAGAGTTGACGGGGGCTCTGCGCCATTCAGAAACCGCGGCTCGACGGTTGGTGGGGCTGGAGCTGGAGCTGGGTCCTGCACGCCCGGCTTCCCGAGTCAGGTAGTAGTAGTAGTAGTAGTAGTAGTAGTAGTGGTGGTGGTACAGAGCTTGGAGAGCGAGATCCTTCCATCCCGTCTCATGCCATGCCATGCCATGCCATGCCGTGATTCCCATCCCATCCGATCCCGTCTCATCTCATCTCATCTCATCCCATCGCATCATCCCATGCCATCCCATCATCCCATCATCCCATTCCTTCAATTCCTTCCACTCCTGCTGATGCGGCGACGGTGGCGGCAGCTTCGTGCACGTACAGCCAGCTACGTAGTATAGTAACTCTGCGCACCAAAAGTAGTACGTAGTAGTAGTACGTAGTAGTACTACCTATACGTACCACGGTACAGGCCTAGTCGTGACCCCCTTGACGGTCGGCTAACCAGGAGCGTGACAGTGGAAATTTTATACTTTCGAGGCACCCTCAGGCGGTCCTAGTACTACAGTACTACAGTACTACTGTAGTAGTACTACAGTACGTACCAGTAGCACTTCGGGGGGCGGGGGACGGGGGACGGGGCAGCGGGACCCGCGCACCAGAAAGTCAAAAAGAAGACTCGAAACCAAAGGCGGACATGGATGCGAAAACGAAGCGAAAGAAGGAAAGAAAAAAGTCAAGAGAAAAAGACAAAAACAAAAGGCAAAAACAAAAGGCAAAAAGGAAAGACTAAAAGAAAAGACGAGAAGAAAAGGTATGCGTAGTACGGTAGTGGAAGAAGAAAAAACCCCGGAAAAAAAAAAGACGCAGAGAAGGGAGAAAGACTGAGTGGGTGAAAAGTAGAAAGGTACGTAGTGTGATAGTCAGCGGCGCGCACTGGCCTTCTGTCATCCTATCCTATCCTATCCTATCCTCATCTCACATCTCACATCTCACATTTCACATCTCACATCTGACATCTCACATCTGATCCCCACCCCAACCTTCCAAACAGAGCAGTCCTAACCAGCATCATCTCCCATCATCTGAAAAGACTATGAATCTACACTTTCTACTGACCGCAGGCTGTAAGAAGGAAAGAAAGCAAGAAAAAAAAAAAAAATTCAGACATGCAGTACAGACACAGCGGTACAGCGCCGAGGTATCGCTCGTTGGTTCATAACCCCTGCCCTGTACTGTACCTATCTCTACTGTACAGTACAGCCACTAACCAGCCATCCTAACCTAAACCTAACCTAATCGACCCATTGACCAATAACCTAACCTTATCCAACCTGACCTAACCTAACCTAGCCAACCTAATCCAACCTAGCCAACCTAATCCAACCCAACCCTCTAAGCACAGAACCTCACTCATACTGTACTACGTACTGCTAGTACAACCGTACGTACAACCGTACGTACTACGTACTACGTAGTACTACGTACCTACTACACCTCGGAACAACGCAGCCCTAAACCCTAAGGTACTTACACCCTAAACCCTATCCTATACCTCGGAACCACCATACGTACCACCACCACCGTACCACCACCACCATCACCACCACCAACTAGTAGTAAGTATGAAACAAGCCAAAAAAGCAAGGGGAAGAAAACCCCCCCTCTTCTTCCCCCTCTTTTCCCCCTCCCCCTCCCCCTGGGGAAAAAAAAAAAACAAAGAAAAAAAAAGGAAAAAAGCAAGATACTACTACCACCACCACCACCACCGGTACACAGCACAGCACAGTACTACACAGTACAGTAGTAATAAGAGCAGGCAGCAGCATATCCCCAAAAAAAAAAGCAAGCAAAAAAAAAAAGCACGCAGTTGAACCCCTACCTACCTACCTACCTACCTAGCCAGCAAAGCAAGCCAAGCAAGGGGTAAAAAAAAAGGGGGGCGTGGCGTGGCCCTTTCCCCGGCCCCGGCCCTTCCCCCAGCCCTTACCCAGCCCAAGTCCAGACCCAAGTCCAGACCCCAACCCCGACCCGCTCCGCGCAGGCTGCTCCATGTTAGCACTAGCACTAGTACCAGTACCTAGTTTTCTTCTCCTTCTCCTTCTTCTCTTTTTTTTTTTTTTTTTTCTTCTTCTTCTTCGCGGAGGGGGTTGGGATTTCAGGGATTGCAGGGATATGGAGGGGGGGGGGGGAAGGAGGGATCGGAGCTTGAGGAGGCTGGGATGGGTTGGGATGGCTAGGGTGGCTAGGGTGGCTAGGGTTTAGGATGACGCGGACAGGGACGCGGACACGGACGTGGACGTGGACGTGGACGTGGATATGGACGCGGACAGACAGGGACAGAGACAGGACAGAGACAGACAGACAGACAGACAGACGCGGGAGGACGAGCTAGTTAGCCGGGTCGTAGTTAGCCGTGTCGGGGTCTACGACTGTTTCTCCGAGGGACCTGCATAGAAGTAGATGCCGATGGAAGTAGAAGTAGATGACGATGGAGGGCGAGGTGGGTGTGATTGTAATGGTGATTGGGACCGGAACTAGCAATCGGACTGTGACGGTAACATCTCGTGCCGTACGGAAACGCAAGTTCGGGAGGGGATTCAGCCGCGCATCAGGCAGTACGGATAGAATTGAAAGATGAGGACAGTTAAAGTACAAGGGTGCTGAGCCAGAACTTGGTCTCCGAGCAGCGCTGCCGTTTTCATTCATTGGTCTACATAAAACAGCCGGAACCACTGCGAAATGATGGATCATCGAGATCTACATCTTTCCGGTTGACAAGACCAACAAACACACCCAGCGTAACAGTCATTAGGGTATAGAAGTACAAAGTATATCATCCGGGGCATCCACGGAATCGAGAGCCAGAAAGGAGAGCCAGAGACAGCATGTTGCCAAGTGGAGCAAGCCGTTCCGTCGTCTTGACCCGCCTCTGATCGAGTCTCCTACTCTCTCGCGACAGCAGAAAGAACTCTCCATGAACCGAGGGGTATGCAGCCAGAACCAAGAACCCAAGCCGCCGGACAGCTGAAAGATCGCGCACTTTTGTGATGACATGGGTCTCGGGTTGATGAACATCAACCTCGACCTCACAAGCAATTACAAGAAAAAGTGTGCAACCTGAATTAGAAGTTTCCATCGAGGCAGAACGCCCTTGTGCCCAGGGTCGACGCCCTCCCCCACTCCGTCATCCCATCGTTTATCCCCCATCATGAATTACCGAACATCGGAAGAAGAGTCATTGGTTCGTGACTGAGATGATGCGAAAGGATCAAGCCGCTTACAAAAGGTAAGCAGCAAGGCAGAGCAGACCGGCCAGGGAACCGCCGGAGACGGCCATGGCCTTGTTGGCGCCGCTGGCCACGAGGGGAGCAGTGGTGGACGCGACAGGAGTAGGAGGAATCGAAGGAATCGACAAAGCGCCGGTTCCCGCGGGGGGAGTGGTTGGGACAACGGCGGTGGAGTTGCTGGTGGGGTACACAGGAACGACGGGGGTAGCGGTCGGGTACACTGGAGACGGAGCAGATGGGACGACGGGAGGTGCGGCCGGGACAGATGGGACAACGGGAGGTGCAGCCGGGACAGATGGGACAACGGGAGGGGAGGCCGGGATAGATGGAGACGGCGCAGAGCTGTTCATATCGTTAGCTTCAAGTTGCAAAACTGTACCAGGAGACAGGTGGGCGGTACCAGGTGGTGCACTCCACGTAGCTTGACGTGACGACTGGCTTGATGACAGTGCAAGGGCAGTTGGTGATGACCAGAGTGGTGGACTGCAGAGTGTTAGCTGGTGTTTCCCATCGCGCTCGGGGGCAAGGATGGGAGCTCGACGCGACTCGGAGCAGTACAGCTCCCCGTCGTGGCGGGCTCCATCTCCCGCGCGCCTTCTCACCTCAGTAGCCGTGTAGGTAACGCCGTTGAAGGTCAACTCAGTGGAAGCTGGGCAGTACGTGGTGTAGGCAGTGTGAACCTCGGTGATGTAGACCACGCTGGCGTTGGAGCCGGAGCCGGAGCCGTAGCCGTAGCCGTAGCCGTAGTTGGCCGCGGCCGACGACGCCAGCGCAAGAAAGGTGACAGCGGAGGAGAGCATCGTGACGGTTGGTGTAGGTAGGAGGTATTAGGTTACTTAGAAGATTATTGGGGGGTGAGAGGGAGAGTTGAAGTTGATGTTTGAGGTTGAGGTTGAGGTTGAGGTTGAAGTTGCGGTTGCGGTTGCAATTGCGGAAGCGTTGGAGAGAGAAGTGTAGGTTCGAAAACGAATGTGGTAGACTGAAAGTCAAGGTAGATGTATGCGAGATACGAACGAGGGTGCGGTTAGGGGGGTCCAGAAAGAAGGAGAGCCGAATTCTTATACTCTGTACTGAGAGGACGAGCTCCGTGTGGGGCGGGCTTGGCCAATCAGAAAAGTGGGACTGGCCCGGGGCTAGCTCAGGGCTAGCTCAGGACTAGCTCAGGACTCGGGGCTCAGGGGTAAAGTGGTCTGGGCGGATCCATCCAGACATGACCCCAACAAGCTTAAGCCGTGTGTTTGTTGACTTGGCTTTTGCTTTTTTTGTTCTTTGTTTTTCTGCTTATCGTTTCGCCCTGGCCGCTCGCTCGAACCCCAGTCGCAAAGACTTTTGGTCACATATTGGATTGTTGATCCAGGACATGGATGGCGGCAGTCAGCACAAGTCGGCGCGCCGGAGATTGGGACACGCTTCTTTTATTAGGGATCAGATGGAGAAGCAGAGCGATGGTGGTGGTGGTAATGGTAGCGGTGATGGTAGTGGTAGTGGTAGTGGTAGCGGTGATGGTGCTGGTAATGGTAATGGCCGTCGCCGTCGGTTATCAGTCGACATGGGGGCAATCAGTAGGCATGACGTTGATTCTGAGCTTTATACTTTGACTTTAGCACGACTCTTCCGTAGATACCGTATACCGCACAGGAAGAATACTCGGAGAAGTCAGTATACTCTACTCTATCATCTTGTCATCGAATCTCAAGCTTCCTTGCCCTCGCTCGAAGCCTTCTTCCCCGGACGAACAATAAACAATAGTTGGCAATAGATCTCCACAGCAACCTTGAACACAATCTCGCTTCGCGGGAAATGAAATCTCTCTCGGGCAGCGAGCTGTAGCCGGCCGGCCTGCTGATGAAAATCGCCTCATGAATAGATTGTCGCGTATCACGATAGGCCAGGGCCGGTGGTGGTGGTGGTGTACCGAATCCCCCCTCTGTGCCACCATCACGTTCCGATATCAGCCCTTTCGTGTTGCCGTCAGCAACGAGAGCTAGATGCCCGGTCAGGTCGACGATGATAGCCCAATAGCCCAATAGCCCAATAGCCTAATTGCCTAATTGCCTAATTGCCCAATAACTAACTGCCAACCTCTCCGAGCTCTCCCCGAGTGAAAGACAGAAAGAAGTAATATTCACGGCCACGCCCCGTCCGGCCGAACATACGGATTACTACCTAGCGGCCGGGGACTGGATCGTGAGAAAATTCAAGACAAGGTGCGCCTCTTCGGGTGGTGGCGGTGGAGCAAATCTCCCAGCTGCAGCGAGCGATTCGGGAGAAGATTGAACGGTTCCACCGTCCACGTCCCAACCAATATACGTAGGTAGTATACGTAGTACAACGTACAACTAGTAGTACGTACTACTACAATGCCCATCCGTGTTGGACTCCAAAGATCTCTGCAGTGCCAGATGCAACGCGGCAAGGTTAATGCGCCGTTCCTGCGTCGAATCATTTATTCCTACTCGTTCAGCGAGTCAGTCCGTCCTGCACAAGCGGGACGTCCGCAATCTGTGTCGGGGAACGCGTGTCAACAAAGCATCCTCCCTCCCACCTTGAGCAACTTTGGCTTCCGCCCTGGCATACGGAGTACGCGTTTTGATAAGCTTTTCCTTGGCTGGCTGCTTGCTTGCTTCCATAGCAGATTTCATCGCCCTCTTGTGCGCCTCATAACGTGCCTATGATCGAGGGAGCAGCAGGATCACAGAGCGGGGCTGGTATCGTCGCTACGACGTACATACCGGTAGTACATAGTAGAGTCTGGTACCGAAACGGCCAGAAGTATGGCTTTACCTCGTCAATACCAATCTCCATGGCTAAGACCGGAACTGGAAATCCGCAGCTTTGGATTTTAACTTGACTTCTCTTTGGATTGTCTTGTTTCCCAACTTACTAGTACTAGTACAATCGAGCACACGCTCACCTGCACTCCCTCGAATCACGCTTGGGCGCTTCAACCAGTCAGTTACCTGAACAGTTACCTGGCCTTACCAACGTCTTCAGAACGCTCGTTCTCATTTGCAACTCCCCTCGAGAACCCTTCACCATCTTGGGGCTCTTCTTGCATAGTCCGTCTCTCGGCACCCATAGATTTCTAAACCAACAGTCACTCTCCCAGATCTAAGCCACTCATCTTTCTTCGTCATATTGACCCTGGAAGTTTACCCACCTATCATCAGGGTCGCACGAAGCGTTCACTCCGAAATCTTCGTCCGGCTGAGTTCTCCCACCCGCTCTTTACTTCCGACCGATTAATGTTCTGGTCGAAGAGTCTGCAACCAGCCTTCCGCTCTGAACTCGAGTCCAGCCAGCTGCCCTGAGCGTCTGGCTTGCCCGACACAATAATAAGGCAATGGCACAATGATGATCTTCCTCTCCCTCTTCCCAACCGTCTTCTCTCTCTCTTTCTTTTGATTCTTTGACTTATTGATGCGCTGGGCAGGATTATGTTCTCTGGGCATGAGGACTTCTTCCCTTCGACCGACGACCGACTCGCTGTAACCGAGCAAACGCGGGGAAGCGCCAATTGGACGATGCGGTTAGAACAGCATCGAACCTCAATCCTCACGTCCGGCATATTCGCGGTAAGCTCAAGTAGTGAGTGAGCTCTGTTCTGTGGTATGAATTCTCTTCCACTTGTTGAGATGGCAAGATTCCTTTCGTTGTGTTCTACACCTGTATCAACCACAGTTGCTAGTGAAGTCTCGTAACACTCATCTGACCACACCGACTGAACCACGACCACGGAGCTTTGTCAGGTTCAAATAAGTACCACGGAGCTCTGCACTGGAGTGGGATTGGCAAGCTAATGACCCAAGT